CATACCATTAAAACCAAATGTTTTATCCACCAGAATACAATACCGAAAGCAAGTGATTTATGTTTTTGTACAAACACTTAGTCCCACGAAACCCCCTCAAAAGCTTTGTATTTGCCTTCATTTGTTCAACATGTTTGTTTTGTTACGCTACGTGTCCACACCTTACCAGTTGCAAAATTTTCACTTGTTGAATTATATTCTGTTTTCTATCACGCCAACCTTGAATTTGATGGAAGAAAAAACTTTAAGTAACATGAATAATTTATTGCCCGAAAATGAAGGTTGGGAAAAGGAGACAATATTTCGTGACTTAAGATATTAAGGGTGCTTTCGCCAGTCAAATAATTTAGTCTGTAAATGACTATGAGGAGGGAAAAAGTATCCAATTAACTTAAAGTACATAATATCTAGCTGTTGAAAACTTTAAGAAAATAGAATTATTGGGTTTCGTTGCAAATATTATTTTCTTTCAGTGACAAACACACGAAAGGACCATACTCGTCAGATTTATTGTTTTTTCTTTTTTAAAACCTCAGCCATATGGCTACAGAGGGTATATATCACTTGACACGGCCAGAACGTGTTTATCGAAATAACGATTGTAAGATCCTAGGTCTCTTTGTACCAAATCCGTTTCACGACATTTGGCGTCGATCCTTCTGTCTTTCTGGCTAGTGCTCACGATAACTCTCGAAAGGAGTATACGATTTGATCCAAACTTAGATTAAAAATTCCAATATTGATAAGTTCTAGATCAGGTGCCAAAATGGACAATGTCGGTTCACATGTACCTCCCACACAAAGGCTCAAAATTTGGAATAATTATAACTCTTATAAAATTTGAAATAAATATTCGATTCTCTCTAATTTTCGCTCATCACAGTATTTCTGCTAAGAAAAGTTCTGGTGTGAAGATGGAATATATCAGACCACTCCTTCTGGTACCTCCCTGACATGGGGTTAAAATTTGGAATAATTATATCTTATTATTTGCGAAATAATCATCCGATTCCCTTCAAGTTTCACACATCACAATATTTTTGTTAAGATATAATCTGGTGTGAGTATGAAATATATGAGACTACTTCTTCGCACAACAGGTCAAAAATTTTGAATAACTAAGAAGTTCATAAAACACGAAATGAGCATAATTTTTATTTTAAATTTGGCACATCCCAATAGTTCTGCTTAAACAAGACCTGGTACCTCCACAACAACGGGTCAAACTTTTTAATAGCCAAATCGCTTATAAATTTCACACATCCAAATATTTCTATTAACACAACATCTGGTGTGAAGACATCAGCTCACCACTTCTAGTATCGCACTCACAAAAAAAAAAAAAAAAAAAAAAAAAAAAAAAAACTTTGCAACCCATCTTCACTATCAGAAAAACCCTATTGCTATAATGTTCACTTACAGCATATCACGCACTTTCTATCCATAGGTAAAGCTTATTGACCGAAATTTTAAGATTTCGCAAGCAAATGTTCAATCTAGCTATTAGGTTCTTTTCGAAATCATCAAAGTTCTGGAACCAATATTTTCCAAAAACATGCTATCGCTATCAAGTAAAAACTCAGTTAGTTTGGCCGGGCCGGTAAACAAGTTAAAAAGCGCCCTCCACCATTTGGAACGAATTTAAAAAAAAAAAACGAATATAGCCTTTATATTAGGTTCTATACGGCGTGGACCTGCATAGGCATTGTTTGTCATAAGCCATTACCACATTTAAATTCGAAAAATGAAATATACGGTGAATAATATACCAAAAGTCATCAAAATATCGTATATAGGGAGGTACCGTTATATGGAAGCTGTGCGAAGACCTGGACCAGCATAGACAATTTTCTGTCGCAGTCTGTAGCATCCATTACGAACTTCAACTACGACATCTCAAACAATTTCGGTGGGTACTTAACCCAAAACCAAAAAACCAAAAAAAAAAAATACCTAATATAAGGAGGTACTGATATATGGGGCCTATACGAAGACCGGGACATGCACAGACAATAGGCTATAGTATCCATTACGAACTCTAAATACGAAATTTGAAACAATTCCGATTAATAATGTACCTAAAATCATCAAAATACCGAATATATGGAGGTACCGTTAAATGGGGGCTATATGAAGACATGTACCTGCACAGACAATTTTCTGTCGTAGGCTGATTTCCAATACAAAAACACACATCTGAGTATAATTTTAACAACCTACTTCATTTCGTTCGGAAACTAGAGCGATTTCCATAGACGAACAGACGGACATCGCTAAATCGACATAGAATTTTAGAATTTTTGCTGGTCAAGAATATGTATACTTTGTGGGGTCTAAAATGTATGTATCGAGATGTTACGAACGGAATGACAAATTTAATATACCCTCCATACTATAGTGGGGGATGTTAAAAAGTATGGGTATTTGACCAAATATATGTTCAAATAGCAAATTCGCCCATTCGGATATTTTACATTTATGCACTAATTTTGATATTTTTATACCCTCCACCTTGAAAAGGAGAGTATATTAACTTTGTCATTCCGTTTGTAATATCCATGAATATTTGTCGTGACCATATAACGGTTCCTCCCAATATTCGGTATTTTGATGATTTTCTCCACATTGTTTTTTTTTTTCGAATTTGTCTAAAATTGTATTTGTAGTTCGTAATGAGTTCCAGACAGGGTGGTAGAACATTGTACACATAGGTCCACGTTGTCGTATAACCCTCACATAACGGTACCTCCCGATATATAGAATTTCGATGATCTTTGCCACTCTTTTCCAAGGATTTGTCCAAATATTGTTATTTTTTCTTCATAATGGGTTCTAGATTCGGTGGCAGAATATTGAGTATCTAGGTCCACGTGATAGGGTTCAGCGCTGTCCTAAAATCTAACCCCATAAAAAATTCAATGTCTATTGGTCCTTAGTTGAGAACTGTAGGACGACTCTAGACAATTTTTAAAAACAAGGTACCAGTGGGTATTTTATAAATTGAGATACAAATGGAAATCATTTTAGTATACAAAGATAAGTGTGCCGAGCTAGGGGCATTATTTTCATATATTATACATTCTTTGGCCATGACCAATATATCACAACATCTCCATATAGAGGTGAAGGATATACATATACACACAATTGGTATTGGATTTTTTAACCTTTATAGACTATAAAAATACAAACAATAAACATGCCAACAATTTGTTAGTAATTGATTTTATTTATTTCACGTTTAAATATAAAATTAAATTTTACATGAATTCATTTTAATATCTGTTACATAAACTAGAAAATTCAAGACTGTTTATTTTAAAGAAAAAAAAACTGATTACACATTTTAATTAATTGTATTAATTAAAATCATTTTTCATAAAACTATTATAATTTGTGAATATCTAATTAAAAAAAAAAAACATATATAATAATATAATGTCTTCTATTACGTTTTGTTGTTTATTGCTAAATAAAAGAACACATTTTGTTTATATGTATATATGCATATATTTCGTTAGGACGGATTTGATAAAGGACATTGACATGTGGTTCCTACTATTCACGGCAATAATACATTCACATATATGTAATGAGTAAGTAATAATATATTTTAAAATATTTATTTCTCTTTTTATTTTATTAAGGTAGTATTTAATACTTTATATTTGTTTGAGTTGTTGTTGCTATTTTTGCTTTTTGTTCTGTATCAGTGTTATCTATAATTATTTTTATTTTTTAGAAAAAAAAAAGCTTGGTAAATAAAGAAAAAAAAAAAAAAAATAGAAAAAAAAATAAAATAATTGCATATGGGTCCCCACCACCTAGTTTGTTTGTTTTGCTTGGTAATAAATTTTAAAATGGTATTTATATTATTATTGCAGGGTTATAAGAAATTGTTTATAAAAGGAATTAAGCAATTTAATTAAAAAAATTAATTCAATAGTTTCCAGTAATTCATATATTTGTGTTTTTTTCTTTGTAATGACAAATATTTTTGAATAATTGAAAAGTATTGAATTGTTTGTATGCAATTTCTAGATTTTTTTTTTAATTTATAAAAAAACATAATATAAAAATGTGTTAAATTTATGTTGTATGTATTGATGCTTTTATGCTTTGGTAAGCATAAAATGGCAAGATATTTTATATATATATATTTTTTTAATGATTTTAAATGTTTTTTTTGTGACAATTGCTTAGCTTCGTTCTTTAGAAAAAATCTGTTGAAATCACGAGAGTGTTTTAGGTGAAATTTTTATGTAACTTAGAAATTCTTGGAAAGCTCATCCAAAAAGGAAATTAAAAATACTATTGTTATTTCTAAATATCAAAATGAACACAATTTTTACTATACAACGATTCTGAACTTGATTTTACTGACTAATTTTTTTTTTGACATCATCAAATCTGAAACTATTTACGAAATTCTAAAAAAATGTTTAAAATTTTTTCATTAAAACTGAATTCGACGAAATTAGCTCCATATACTTAAGTATGTTTCAGAGGCAACATAAATGTGGCAATACATTTTTGAGAATTTCTGAAAATGGCATATGTCAGAATACTGATTCTGTCTTTATTTTTTAATTAGAGGGAACTTCTTTTTGAAAAATGGTATACAAATTAAAAAAATAAAATTCTCATTTTTTTACTTTAGTATAGCAACAGTCATATAAAAATACTTTATAAAAAAATCTCTTTACAAGGCAAACTTAAAACAGAACTTGAACTCTAATTTTGAATCTCTGATCAAAAACTGAAAACGTTTTCGTTTTAATTTTTACAAATTTAGATTAATTACCATTCAATACCATAAAAAATACAAACATTAAAATATACATTATAATGTAAAATAAAAAAATTGATTTTCTCACAAAAAAAAAAAAAAAAAAAAAAAAACAATTCGATTCAATTCAACTAAGAATTCAATATTGAAATTTTGTAATTTTCAAGGCAACTTAAAATAAAAATTTGATTCTAGCTTTTAATTTCTGATCAAAAAATTAAAACGTTTTTCAGTTTTTTTTTATATTTTTTTACCAAAGTAGATTAATTACTTTATTCAATACAATATTAAAAAATATATATAAATTAAAAGAGCCATTATAATATAAAATTAAAAAAAAAAATTTGCACATAAGTTCTGACTGTCTCTCTCAAAAACGAATTCAATTGGAAAACTAAACCAGTTCGGTCGAAAAACATTGAAAAAATATTAAAATTTACAAAACAACTTTAAAAGGCAACCTCAAATCAAAAATTGTATTATAATTCAGAATTTCTGATCAAAAAATGAAAATGTTTTTAATTTTTTTTTTTTTAATTTGTGTAATATTCTACCTTTCAAATTTTTTTTTGAAAAAATGTAATATAGTCATTGTAACGAAAAATAGCGAAATTTTGGACGCTTGTTCTGAGTTTCTCATTATCAAATTCGGTTGGAAAATTAATCCAGTTTGGTAGACAAAAAATTTAAAAAATATTAACAATTTTAAATTTCCATTTTGTATGAATTTAATTCAATTACAAGATTTTAATAACAAAAGTTTGATAAAAAATTAAAATATCTTGGATGATCTCATTAATGCAAAAATGTATCTAATTTCTGATTATGTTATAATATTTAAAATTTCGAAATCGAAAATCGTTAATATAATACAAAAGTAAAAAAAGCAAGCAAAAATTGGCATTTGGTTATTAATTACTCAGAGACGACGGGACAGATTTTGATAACGTTTAAATTGATTTATATCAATAAAATAATATAATAAAATGGAGCTTTTCTTTTGGATCTTTTCTATATTCGAAAATACTTTTTAACCCAAATTAAAAATACGAAAAATTCAAAAAAATAAAAAAAATAAGTTTTAGCTTCGAATTTCTCAGCCACAACTGAACAGAGTTCTATGTCGTTTAAATTGATGGGAATCCTAACGGCCCTACAAAGCAATATTAAGGTATATCCCATTAGACTCTCTCAAAAAATAATTTTCCTTTTATATATTGAAATAATTTATGTATTTTAAAAACATATCTCGCTTTCAAGAAAAAGTTTTCTCTGTAAAGAAGCTAAACTTTCTTAGCGGTTATCGGGAGAAATTTCCTTATTTTTTAAAAGAATGCAATTTTTTTTAAATCTTTTGAAATTTTCCCGATTCCCAGGGTTTTTGTGACATCAACATTTTTTTCAAACATTTCCAACATTTTTATATTAGGTCTTTTGTTTTGCTTCATCTGACTATGAAAAAAATATTAGCAGGAAATATAAATTCCATCAACTCTAAAACTAAATTACAGCTAATCAATGGAAGTTACGGACTTTTTATACAATTTGTTTTTTAAAGGCAAACATATATATTTAATTTTTAGTATATTTTATTTACTTTTGTTTTGAGTCAATTGGCACTTGTTTTAAATTACAACTATAAGGTATTTATATAAAAAAAAAGAAAAAAAAATATAAGAAAAAAATAAAATTATTTAAAATTGCTCGCAGTATATTCGAAATGAAGTGTTAAATGAAGCATTAGAGAAGCATAAAAGTAGAAAAAAAAAGAAAATAAAAATAATGATTAGCTTTAAAAGCTTGGGAGAGAAAGAGAGAGAGAGAATAAAATACAAATAAAGCAAACTATAGAGAGCAATAAAAAGTTGAATTTTATAGAATTTCTTTCTTGGAGAGGATCTTGGATAATATCCTAAAACTAAGCGGTTCCTGCCGCCCAATTTCATTTTGTGTTAAGTTTTTTACATTGTTTCTTTTTTTATTTATGATCCTCCGTTTCTGCTTCCACAATTTTACCACTCTCTGGGTCTGGGTTGAGCTTCAGTGCGATATGAAGATGATGTGCGTCTGGTTTCGACATATTCGTGTTGGGTTTGAGCTACCATGCGGCCGGATCTGGGTGGTGGTGGTGGGGCTGGCACCCTGGATTGGAAGGTGGTCTGCAACAACAATTTCATTTAATGATTGAAACTTTTAAAATTAATCTCTCCCCTCCTCATACTTACAACCATTCTCTGTGACCTTGTGGCAGTTGGTGTACCCTCAGGCGATGACATATCATCCGGCACGGCCCAGTGTTCCGTAAATTCACTGGCCGATCTGGCCAATGAGGGATGACTTACCGAACGATGGAATGAACGTCTCTCCGACATATTATCATCATCATCGTATTGCATGGGATAATATGAGCTGGCATTTGACATATTATCCATGCGTCCAAAGTCCACGGTCACCTCGGACATGGAACGGAAATCATTGTGATCGGTATTGTAAGAAGTTCGCGATGAACGACGTGATCTTTGCATATTAAAGGCATTTGGATGTATTGGCATTGAGGGATCATTTCGAATGGTTCGAACACTGGAACCACCATCACTATCATACTCATATAGAGTTGGCAATGAACTGCGCCGAGATCGGGTATCCCATGGTTGGGTCTTCCTGTTGCGTCGTGGTGTCCTCATCTCAACATCTCCCTCATCATCGGAGGGTGGGGCCAAAATACGTATAATTACATCCCAGGTTTGTGGCTCAAAGATCCTCTCATAACGGGTGTCCGAACGAATGCGTTCAAAATCTTCCTTGACCACAGCCTCAGTTAGCATGGTACGCAGCGAGGATTCGGTGGTAATGATTTCCTTCCATTTGGCCTTATCGTCATAGCTAATGTAACGACTTAAGGCATGAACACTAGAGTGCACGGAACTGGCATCATCGGCCTCCGACATTTCTGGTTCTTCCAAAATCCTAATCAAAACATCCCAATTGGGTACGGCCTTATCCTCGGGTGGCAACTCTATGGGTTTCATGTTACCCACCAACTGAGGACTGGTCAACTTCTCCTTGTTGTCATAGATCTGTTGTGGTGGTTCTGTGGGTCTTATCGGTGGCAAGGACAATTCGGACCTCTCCATTTTGGGTGTCAATGTCAGGCCAGAAACACTTGAAATATCCGAAAAGTTCTCCCATTGTTGCTGTTCACGTTCTGTGGGATAGTTGCGTATCTTAACATCCCATGTTGGATCCGGTACTGGTGGAGCCAATGGTTTTGGTTTAGCCTTGTATTCGGTAACCTTGCGTTTGTGTGATTCAATATCTTCAATGGTCTTCTTTTCGGTAATGGTACGCAAGTAGACATCATCCACGGTATGCGACGTAATTTGCGGCTTCTTGATGACAATTGGTGGTTCTGGTGGTATATATTCGGTTTCCACAAAGTGACTACTGTCTACCATTTCGGCAACGGAATGTAGATCGGGTGCCCTAGAGGTAACATCGGTAATTTCACTGAGCGCCGGACCATCGGTGTAATCGGACCAGGTCTCCGGGCGGCCATCAACCATCTCATGATGGGTACGTGTGTAAACAGAGAACACAGGTTGAACGGGTGGTGGCAGTGTTATTTCCGTATGCTGTGGTGCTGTATGAATGTCAGGTGTGTACGTGAACTGAGTTTGCATAGTCTCTTCTTGGCCGGGCAGTGATTCCATGGTTGTAACACTTTCACGATCCTCATGAGATTCCATAATAGTCGAAAGATTATTACGTTCAGGTCGTAGTGTGGCCACACTTTCGGTATCCGATGTCTGGGGTGATGGTGGTGGCGGTGGTGATTTCTTGACACGCACCTGGACATCGAATTTGGGTGATGAGGCTTCCTTGATGGCGATGGGATGGCGTGGTATGGCTGTGGCTATGGCATTGGCAGCTTGCAGTTCTTGAGTATGACCATAGTGATCACTGTAAATGCTTGAGGTCTCCTGGACAAAGGCACGATTTTCAAAGCTTCCAGCCGAACTGACGGGGAGGGATCTGAGTGGGGGGAGAGAGAGAGAAAATAAATTAAATTGAAATTTGTGCAAAAAAAGGAAAATACTATCTTCTGCTAATAGGGCATCCGGCCAGGATGTTTATCGATGGGCATGGAGCCACATTTAGATCAAATTTTATAATAGTCTTGGATAGTTTGGTACACCCAAGGTGAATGATATAAAAAGGACGGACCATACATATCAAGACCCACATAAGGACCTATAAAGATGTTCTATATTGGACACTGGTTATTCATAATTTAGAGCAATCTTTCCTTTTATATAACGTAGAGGTAATGGGCCATGGGGCATTTCACAATAGTCCCACATCCGATTTCTCTGTCCCACTGTAAGCCCTAGAAACCAACATTGACCTCAATAACAAATATGAGAATTTCAGCTCTATTCCGTCACCCAATACCACATTTAGTAATATATAGTACGAATATCTAAAACAATGCACGCACATCTCTCTATCGTAGATACCAACAGTCATCCAAAATTTATATTAATTCCAAACACCTACAGAGACTTTAATTTAAAATTTTAGGATTCCAACCCTATCCCTTCATCCAATGCCAAATTTAGTACTATTTAGTAATTTTCGTGCAAATATATAGGATAGGATAGGTAATTTTCGTACAATCATAGTACATATTGCCGAAACCAACTCCATATGTCCAGGCTACACATGAAATAGCGACCCTTATACCAAATTTGAGATTTCAAGCTCAATCTGTTTACTTAATAGCAAATTGTACCAAATATAGTACTATTTGGTACTTTTCGTGCCCTTGTTGCATACATTACCAAATGTCAAGTTTCAGATTTCAACCAATATCAGTACCATTTAGTACCTTTCCCACTGTTTATCCCAAACCTACCCACCAGCAGTGATCCGAATTCCAACATTTCAAATTACTAGCTTCTGCCGTTCAACCAAAAGGGAATTGTACCAAATTTATTACCATTTTATATAGATCTTATACTTAGTACACTTTTCCAAACCCTCCTCCTTACTTCAACCCCATTTCAAAGAACAGATTCTCATACCAAATTTCAACATTTTTACACTATGCGTTCACATTATGTCAAATAGTACCAAATGTAGTGCATTTTAGTACTTTTGGTACACTTATTGTTCGGATTTCGAAAAGCTATTTATTTTGTTTCTCCTGCACCATATCAGAAACTCTCATCCAAAATTCAGATGCCCAGGTCTATTCCTTCCCCAAATACCAAAGTTAAGACTATTTAGTACTTTTCGTACTTTTTAGTACAAAATACCCAATCCCTCGACAAGCAAAAAAGGCGACCCTAAAGCCATATTTTAGACTTCAGACTCAATCCATTACCCAAATACCAAATTTTGTACCATTTAGTACCTTTTTGTACAAATTTCCAAAACCACATCCAAAGTGGCCCCAATGCCGTATTTTAGACTTCAAGTTCAATCTCTTAGCCAAATGCCAAATTTTGTACCATTTAGTGCTTTTTACGTATTTAGAGAACCACCTCCGTATTTAGAGAACCACCTCCAAATGTCAACCCTACTCGTACACTAACAATGAGGTTGATGCCAAATTTCAGATTCAAGCCGTTTCCGGTCACGCAATACCAACTTTAGTATCATTGGTACGCTTGGTGAACGCATTTCCTAACCCAACTCTTTGTTTTAACTCTAACTCTAACCAGAACCAAAACTAAATTATACCGAATTTCGTAACATTTAGTACACATTTCCAAAAACATATGCTTATATCAACACTACTTCCCGAACTTATATTTTTCACCAAATCTCAAGATTTTATTTGTATCCTTTCACAAAATACCAAGGGTACGAAATTTGGTGCTTTTTAGAAAGTGTAGTACATTTCTAGTCCGAATTTCCAAAAAAAAACAGCCTTATCTCACCCCTACCCCATTTTAACACACATACAGAATTTCAAGATCTTAGCTTCAGTCGTTTTGCCTGGGCGTAGATATCTACTATCAATCTCTTCAATTCACTTAAGTCATTTGAAATTTCACTTCTTCTTCCTGAGTTTTCAATTGCCAATATTGTTACCTCGTATCGATTTCTTCAATTTCCGAATGCGATTCACTGGGATAGTCCGAAGGTATCAGAGCACCTTCGCTACCCGAAGAGCTATGGACCGCGGCCAATGGTGCATGGGCTCGGGGTATTTTAACTCCTTCAAACTCGCCAATACCACCCATACTGCTACCGCTGAGTTTAGTAATTTCCGAACCACTTCCCATGGACATGGGAAGGCGTCGGACCACTGGTATAGGACGGCTACGCAGACAATAATAGGACACAGCCAAGCCCAACAGCAACAATGTAAGGAACATGATAGCACAGATAATCATCAAAATTTGTATACCCTTCAAGGGGGGATGGATTACAGCGGCTTTATCGACAGGATTCAAACTGTAAAACAAAAGGTAAAAAAACATTAATTTCAATTTAATTTCTATACAAAGAAATCGGGAACTCACATGGGAGCTGGTAAAGCTGGTGGCAGTGAGGGTACCGGTGGCGGATAACGGCAGACAATTGTTATGATTTCATCGCCATCCATTTCCAAATTTGCATGAAAACGTACAATTATATTATTGGTGAAAACACGTGTTGGATTCTGCAACACAAGCAACAACATAAATGGGAGATTATATCGATTATTAATCCATTATGTAGATTGTACGCTTATCGGATTTTTTCCACACCACTACACCTACCTGTATAGTACCACATCCCTTCAATGGCAGTTCCAATCTATAACTTAATGCACCTTTACCATTGACTCGGCATGCACTGCTACGATCATAATCGGCTTGAATGATGCCATGAAACGGCTCATTGAATTTCATGTCCACCTAGGCACAAAAGAGTATTATATGGACAATATTATAAATATATATATACATATAGAGGTACATATACATATAGAGGTATGCAGGTAAGTATGACCAAAATGTAATTAGCTGTTGACAATCTATCTATCGCGGCATGTGCAACAACCAACCAAATATTCATTGAAGTATGCAAATTGAGTTTTGCAATATTTTTTAAAGTTTCAAATTACATTTCAGAGGTTGTGTGAAATTTTATTATTTTTTCACTATGACCCACTCACCTGCATAGAACCGGCTGCACAATTCAGTGCGGCTTTTGTGCGATTTAAAAATATCAATGGACTAATATCGTCTAGTTTGGTAACCTGCAAAGAGAAGAGGGAGGAAAGAAAATTAGTTGTATGAAATCAATTGGAAAAATTAAAGAGCATTGGAAATATTTTGCATTTAATTTCAAAATTGGTGTAGATATGAGATACGAATTCAAAATAATATTTGAAAAATTTTCTAAGGAATTTCCATGTCTGAGTTTAAGCCCTACAGTTGCCAATTATATTTCCATGGTTTTACTCGTTTATGAGCTTTTTTCTCTGGCATGTTGTACAATTCTGTTTGGTTGCTAAATTAGGTAATGACTAGGCGAAACGGGTTATGGTAGAATCGTAAAATTTAGCTTTAAGGTAGCTTTCGATTGCGAAAATTACCTAAGGGCACAAAACATGGTACCAATGTTATTGAATCGCTGGGTTTCATATTGGAAAAGGTTTATAGAAAATGTTGTTGCAAAATGGTCAAGCTTAATTCCAATACTGTTGTTTTTATAAAACCAGTGTTTGTTTATAGTGGGGAACGATGGTAATGTTTACCAGGGGGTAAGGCAGGGAATACCTAGGTTTCGGAAAGAGCCACTAATCCTCATCAGTTCCCTAGTTTTCATGACAGAACAGTTTATAGAAAATCTTACTAAAAGGATGTGGAAATTGGTAATTCCAGTTATTGCAATTTAATTTATTTATTTTATTTTTTTTTAATTAGTACTGAAATGTTACAGAAAGAACTAGAATGCACCAACCTTCTTTTGGTTCGCACTGATCGATTGCGATTTTGTAATTAATATATTCGTCTACTAAATATTGCTTGTAGGAGAGTGAGTAGACCGAAATAACTGAAATACTAAGTACAAAGTTTTCATAGGACGGGGACCTATACAGGGGGAGATAAAAAAACTGCAACAAAGCCAAACGCCAAAATTTTTACATTTTTTTTAAATTTTATTAAATGAAAGCAATAAATGTCGGAAATAGCATCCAATTTTAGAATAAGTTTGGAATTGTTCGAATTGGCCATCTTTGGCACGAATTATGGCTTTTAAACGGCCAATGAAACCGTCACACGCTGACCGAATGTTGCTCTGCGTTATTTTGACCCATTCCCAGCCCGGCGAAGCGTTTGCTTGAAGTGATCGACACTTTGGAATTTTTTAGTGACAACCTAGCTTTCCAAAATACTCCAGACACAATAGTCCAACGGATTGGTATCCGGAGGTTTTTATGGCCATTGTGCGCTGGAAATGAAACGAGGGACCCCATTTTGTAATGATTCTTGGGTGGTAAGTGCTGAGTGCGATGGTGCTGTTGGAATGTCCAAGGTCTGCGGCCAAAACTTTTGGGTGCCTAAGGCTTTAATACACCCTCCAGAATATTTTCGCGATAACATTCGGCATTTATTCTGATGCCATGTTCGATTAATACCAGCGAAGAGCGACTATCGGTTGTTATGGCGGCTCACACCATCACCATGGCCGGCGCTGGGGTTCTGGCGGCCAACCGAAGGTGCACATTTTCAGCTGATCTCCTTGGCAAGTTAACATGAATAGTTTTTTTTTTTTTTTTTGTTTACAAAATGCTGGACAATAAATGTTTTCTCATCGGAGAGAGAGAGAGAAAACCAAATTCGGCAGTTCACCACTTTCGGCCAAGCGAAGCAACTCTTTAGCTCTTTTGATTCTATTTTCTATCTGTTGCGGTTTAAGTTCTTGTACTTTCTGGAATTTCAATGGCTGTACCCTGAGCTTATTTTTCAATATTTGCCGAATGGAATATTGCGATATGTTCGGTCACTGCGACGCGGGTTTCGATCAAGTCGCTTTTTTACTTTTCGAATCATTTCTTCTGATGTTGCTGTTTTCTTCCGTCCACTTCCTTGACGTCGAGCTACGCTACCAGTATCAAGGGAACGAGCGATGGTAGGAGACACAAAAGATTTATTCACATTTAAATGCTGGAGTGCTCTAATGATAGCCATATGTGGTTTTCCAGCCAAATATAAAGAAATCACACTATCACGCTTGAATTCCATCACGAATAATTTTTTTCAGGAAAATCCTCACCAAAATTCTTTTGTACGCTTGTAAATAATATTTTAACAACTGTCGTACGAGTGGATATGAAATGACAGCATTCTGAAATTGGTTGCCTATTTTTCATCTCACCCCGCGTATCCCCTAAAAATTGAAAATTAGTGAATCAACATTAACTTTTAAAGTAGTATTATTTTGTATCCCAATATTTCAGAATTTCAGAAACTGTACCGTGAATAATATTTATGTAGGAGGTAGCTTCGCCCGACTATGGCCTTTCCTTATTTGTTTTAGTATTAACTTGTTGAACAGATTTATTTCATATTTGTGTTTACTTTTTATACCCTACACCACAAGGTGGTCAGGGTATTATGTCTTTGTGCATTTGTTTGTAACAGGCAGAAGGAAACGAGATAGACCCATAGTTCCTTTTGATGATCTGCATAGAATCACATTCTGAGTCGATTTATGCATGTCCGTCCGTCCGTCTGTCCATGTATTTTTGTAAACAAAGTACAGGTCGCATTTATTGCCAGATCCAGATGAAATTTTGCAAAGATCTTTTGTTTGGCCCAAGGACGAACCCTATTGAAATTGGAGATAATCGGTCAAAATTTAGGTATAGCTCCCATATATATCTTCGTCCGATTTGCCTTTTATTGTGCACCAAACGTGTAATATCAGCCCGAATTGTATGGAATTTTGCATATACACCCAAATTAGGCCTGAAAATATGTATGCCGAAATCGGTTCAGATATAGCTATAGCTCCCATATATATTGTTCATCCGATTTGTTATTTTTTGTTCACCGCCGCCGTAATATGCACTATGCAACAACAATATTTGGGGAAATATATCAAACACAGCTCAGAAATACATTTGCTAAATTTTATCGAGATCGGTTCAGATTTGGATATAGCTCCCATATATAACTTCGTCCGATTTACTTTTTATTGTGCACCAAACGTCTAATATTTGTCCAAATGGCATGGAATTTGGCACTTTCGACCGAATTGAGTCTGGAAGCTAGTATGTCAAATTTGGTGAAGATCGGTTCAGATATAGCTATAGCTTCCATATATATTATTCATCCGATTTGTTATATTTGTTACCCACAACCGTAATATGCACTCCGTAAGAACGATATTCAGGGAAATATATCAAATACAGCTCAGAAATATCTTTGCCAAATTTTATCGAGATCGGTTCAGATTTGGATATAGCTACCATATATATCTTTATCCGATTTCAAATTAATTGTGCACTAAATGGGCAATACAATTCCGAATTTAAAAGATACAAATGCTTCGGCATATTTAGTCCTTTGAACTTTAAATTATAATTATAATCATAGCGTATATGATTGAATTCTCCCATAAAAACTTTTAATTGTTATGTGGAGCTCTACTTAATTAGCAAAGTGGTGTAGGGTATCATAAAGTCGGCCCCGTCCGACTTTAAGACTTTCTTTACTGGTTAATTTTAAATAACGCCGTCTTAGTCTACTTACTTCTATTTTTTTTTTCAAATCAATATTTTGACTCATAGAACATAGTCTACGGCCACATTCTTTCAAGCAAAAAAAAAAATGACTCATCAAAATCCCATATTCCTCTGTCATCAACAAATTACACATGAAATCTCATTATTGACATCTTCCCAGCTACACGTAGCGAATATTGGCATGGCCACAGTGTATACGCTCATTGAACATTTTATTATTTGACTTCTTTGGCTAATTTTGCATACTGGACACGTCCAAGCAGAGGTACATATCAATTCGATTTGATTTGCCTATTTAATATGCAAGGATTGAAACGGGAAAGAAGATATAGTTTTATATTGGCACCATTTTTCTGTTTTTTGGTTTCTTTCTTCATTCCGATTCAAGCTTAATTTATACAATTATATGCAAGTATTTTGTTGTGATTATAAGAAAACGATTCGTTGGGAGGGAAATTGTTAATTTCTAGCATTGACATTTTATGCCGACATATCAAAGACCAATAAAAGTACAGTAAAAATAAAAAATATCCTACAATTTCGAAAATAAAGAAAAGTGAGTGTCATTGGTGGACTTTCAATCAAAATGTGGGTTAATAGAATTTCAAACAGTCAAAATGGATGAAGGGAGATGGGGAATATATAAACGCATTTGTCTGTTTATTAAATTTTGATCAAATGAAGAATATACTCGTATTCCGTTTTACCGCCAAACATCTTCAATTTTGGCGATTTCAACGTCAACATAAATAATCTTTAAACATGAAGTTATACCTATTCTTTTTTTCGAGATAGTGGTCTCAGTTTCCTCCTAATGGAATTTCATCAAATTCTATTTGTTTTAATTTCCAAATATATTCATGACAATTATTGCAACAATGGAGTGATCTGTGCGTCTATTTTCATTGGGAACAAAGGCAAATAATCAACCATTCGTTAACAGCCAATGAATGGATGGATGCATGCCATGCCAACAGGACGTCGTCGGGTTTTTGGGCTTTGCATATTTGTCATTTATTTGCATTCTAATGCCAAGTTTTAGTCACAAAGCCGGAAATTCAGTGCAAACATTTACTTATGAGGAAATGTCACCAAAACAACACGATGTTGGCCTGTGAGTGCCAACATCTAACAGAAATGCATGTATGTATGCAGATGTATAAATTTAAATGAGCTTAGAGAGTTATGCAAAGCAAACAAAGAAAGCCAAACAAATAACATGCACACAATAATATCATGAAATGTCCTAGCATGATTATTTTTCAAAAAAAAAAAAAAAATGTTTCTCAGTTCAATTCAGCTTTAAAGTCGTGAGAATGTCATTTGGAAATACACACTAAAATCAAGAAATATAAATATCAGCAAATTCTTCTGGGTATTAGTCTTCTGAAATCGGTATTTTCCCCAGTCAAATTCAATTCAAATTTTAACCCATTGTGGGGGAAGAACTTGCGGGAGGGGCTGATATTGTCCATTTTCGCGCATGACTTAGCACTGATACA